ATAACAATTCACAGGAGGAAAAAGCCTTAATTGCAGCATCTATTTTTCAGTTACTCTTACTTAAATATTAATTTCTTATCATGGAAGTGTCTTGAATTAAGCCATGAGTTCCAGCAAAACTTTTTCCTATTGCCCTGAGCAACAGACACAGGGCATTGCTAAACTTATACTACCTCAGAATGAGGAAATAACATAAGACTTTTTCTTTTTGCCAAAACTAAGAAATCACACTAATCTGAGAATATGTATTACCTGAATATGACAAAATTTAATTTTATTCTTTTCATGTAGTCTGCATTTGCAAATTTTTACTTTTAAAACTTTAACTTTACTATGTTCCACCTCCTGTAATATTTTAGTGTGGCAGGCCCTTACACTTGTGTTACAGGGAGAAAATACGTATTTGAAATTATTTGTTTGAGGTACTCTCTTCTAAAGAGAAGCCTGCTTGTCAGCTCCTGGGTTCTCTTTGTTGTGAAAAGTTAAGTGGGAAATCAGAAAAAACTGGACAGGCTCAGGGACACTACACAATAAAGAACTGAGCCAGATGAAGAATGCACCCAAGGACTTTGAGAGAAGGGATGGTCGAGACTGATGTCAGGCAGGGGGAACATAAGAGAAAATATTATTATGGGGAAAAAGGAATTGAAGCAATTCTTGAGTGTATGTTCCTTTGGCATTTCCTCAAGAACTGTACTGATTTGACTGTCTTTGAATGCTTTTAGGATGCATGGCCTTTTTTCCCTCGGAATACAAGTTCGTGCTGGTGCTGGGCCAAGAGATGTGCTTTATATGGGCTGTACATGAGTGCTTAGCTGTCCAGGTGTCAACTCTGCCATCCGGTGGATTGTAGACCACCAGGCTTCTCTGTCCTAGGGATTTTCAAGGCAAGAATACTGGAGTGTGTTGCCATTTCCTCCTCCACTGGATCTTCCAGACCCAGGGATCAAACCTAGGTCTTCTGCATTGTAGGCGGATTCTTTACTGTCTGGGCCACCCGGGAAGCCCCTTCTATGGGTTCAGTTGACATAAGGTTTTAAAAGGCTGTATGTTTAGTCAATCTATATAATAATAACCTTGCAAGGAAGACAGGATAGAAATATTTTTATTTTCCAAACTTGCAAATGGAGACTTGTGGTGGTAAAAGTGATATTCCTGAGGACATAGTGGAAACTCAAAACTGTGTCAGCTGGGATTCTTTTCATTATTTTAAGCTGCCTCTCTGAGAGCAAAAACAGGCCCAGAAACTATCAAATCTATTTTTTCTCCTCCTCCTTTTCTTCAGGAAGAAAGGGAAAGTGTCAGTTGCTCAGTCTTGTCCGACTCTTTGTGACCCAATGGACTGTAGCCTGCCAGGCTCTTCTGTCCATGGGATTCTCCAGGCAAGAATATTGGAGTGGGCAGCCATTCCCTTCTCCAGGGGATCTTCCCAACCCAGGGATCAAACCTGGGTCTCCTGCATTGCAGGCAGATTCTTTACTGTTTGAGCCACCAAAAAGGAAAGACTTCTACAGCAAAGTTAACAGATTTTTCTGCAAAGACAGGAGTGTTCTGTGCTGTCCAGTATAGAAGCCACAAGCCCCATGTGACTTTTGGGGGCTCGAAATATGGCTAGAGTGACTGAAGAACTGAATTTTTATTTAATTTTAGTTAATTTAAATCATTCAATTTGGTTAGTGGATATATTGGACAGCACATCCTACAAGCTTCCTGTGAGACTGCCCCATTTGTATGTTCTCAGTTGCTAAGTTGTGTCTGAATCTTTGGGACCCCACAAACTGTAGCCCACCAGGCCCCTCTGTCCATGGAGCTTCCGAGGCAAGCATACTGGAGTGGGTTGCCACTTCCTTCTTCAGAGAGTCTTTTTGACCCAAGGATTGAACACTGTTTCTTGCATTGGCAGGTGGGTTCTTTACCACTGAGCTAGACATCCCAAATTAAAATAATAATTGGAGGTAAATTGCACTTTAACTTTCTATTTGTTAGTATATGTTGAAGTTCAAACCTTTCATAAACAAATCAACACTGTGGTCAGTTTCACCTCATTGGCTTAAGATACCTTTCTTGACTTTTAATACCTTTGAAAAGTGAAAGTGTGTCCAACTCTGAGACCCCATGGACCCCTGCCAGGCTTCTCTGTCCATGGGATTCTCCAGGCAAGAATTCTGGAGTGGGTAGTCATTCTACTCCCAACCCAGGGATCGAACCTGGGTTTCCTGCACCACAGGCAGATTCTTTACGGTCTGAGCCATCTGGGAATCCTTTACCTATTCCCTAAATGTTTTTACAAATAATTAAGATGAAGTAACTAACTTCCTCTGTAGCACCATTTATTTGATTTCTCTAGAACTTTGTATATGTTCCTTTGCTATTATTTTCCTTTTACTAGGTTCATAGTATATGAAATAACATGCAGATGCATCCTTTCTAATACATAATATATGAAAAGTCCAAAGCACCAGAGTCCATTCTGAATTTCCAGAAACTCTGTGAATGTCTTCTCTTCCTTTGCAGTAAATGGGCACCAAGAAGAAACCAGAGGTACAGAGTAGAATGAAAGTTTCATGAAAAAAAGAAAAAAAGGATTCAGTCAGCCTTTTCCCTTAGCTCTAAAAGATTCATCAACAACAGAAACATCTCACCACCTTTAACTCCTGATTTGGCTGGGAAGTTTTCCCATACTTCAGCAGCCTTTTCACTTTCACTTACTGGATGCTCTAGTACACTGGACAATTCAGAGAATTTTAGGTTATTTTACAAAATTGGAATTTAAAAAAAAATCAAAAGTGGAAGATGAACTTTGAAAGGGATAGAAATTACACAGCTACTTCAAAGAATTGAGAAAGGTGTTGGATATATATATATGCAGGATTTATATAACTGTCAATCAGCTGTATTGGAAGCCACACCTAACACAAAAGCAAGTGAAAGAAGCATCAACTTATCCTAGAAGGAATCGTCTATGTGTTCCTTATGCCTTTGTAGAATGCCGGTTGCATCAGTTATATTGGCAAGTCATTTAGTAATTGCTAACCGACCAAACCTACTCCACAAGAAATAAGTTGGTTTATTTCATATCAATTGAACGTAGCTATAGCAGAGAGCTATAGCAGTCATCACACCCTTCAATCACCTTGCTTGTCAATTTTTTTTTTTTTGCAATTATCGTCTAAGCAGGTTAGGAAAAAAAAATTAACACCCTCATCAGGTACTTTAAAATGTAAAGCAAAATATACTAGATGGAAAATGGCACGAGTTTACATCAGACAGTTGTGAGGATAATACGTGATACTCTGTTAGTAGACTGATGTCATTTGGTGTAGACACTGTGTACAGATGCTGAGTTGGTAGTAAAGTGCCTTTACGAGACAGCTCTGCTTCTTGATACCTGAATCTGCAAATGTTGGACATGGGTACTCTATGAGAACCAACAGCTTCTTGGCACAAGATGTAAGTTTCATGGGTCGAGATGTTGATGAAATTGTACACACAGGACCTGAATTCAAACTTTAGGAGCTCAGTATATATATTAACCACTTTCCTCCTCTGGGGGTGGGGGGGTGCCTTTCCTGTCTTCACTCACAGGGATGGTTCAAAATCTGGACTGTGATTATGGGGCAAACAACAGATCCATCTAAGGAGCTTTTTGCATCTGCTTTATTTTGCCAGGGAGGGAAGGGGTTGATATGAATGGGAGAGCGGCTCCAACAGGCAGGAAAAACAATCGGCGCTGCAACCAGTTGAACCACTTCCACTAAGTGACATAAAAATATTCTAATATTAAGGATTATTTTACAACTCTATGGAAGTATGCAGTAATGCATCTCGCATTTGTTTTGTCTCGATGACAAAATGCACTCTGAGTCACAAGAGCCTGCCTTGTGTTAGTTATAAACAAAAATATATTTATATATATATATTTATGTAACTACTATGTGCTTTAAAGAAAATTATTGTATGATTCAGCAGGGTTCTTTCACTCTTTTTCTCGCCAGGGATATGCTGACTTGAAAGACTTCTTAGATAGGAATCGACAATGAAATGGGCCTTTCAGACTGAAACGGCAAAAAGTTAAAAAAAAAAAAAAAAACACCAAAAACCTCATATGCTTAGAATCCCTTAACATTTTTGCTTCAAAAACGATTAAGGAACTCTTGGTACTGTTTCCTTCAGCCAAGAACAACTGTGGCTTCACAGGACTTCACAGTTGGGAGGTGGAGGCGATGCTTCTGGAAACCAATCAGATGTTTTATTCTGAGGTGGGGGGGAACCAGAAGCCTGGTTTGTCCCTCCCTCTGTCCTCACGTTTAGCTAAAAGGCTATGATTCTGTCACTGCTTACACAGAAGGTGTCCAGGAAGAGGGAGGCAAAGTCGGAACTGGAAAGATAAAGATTCATCCTGTAAAGAACCAACTGGTTGGAACAGGTGGGTCTAGACCAGCAAAACAAAATCCTTCAGCCACATGTCTGGTGGAAAGACATAAAATCTCTTCTGTATTTGTTTGGGCCCCTGCATCACCTACTTCTCTCAGCAAACTGGAAATATTTGTCACTGTTCTTTTGAGTGAATGGGTTCAGGCTTTGGAACACAGTTATCAGAGAAGAATATTTGAACCAAAGGTATAGATCCCTTGTGAACTAAAGCTTTATTAATATTTTTTTTTCTCGATCCCTTTGCAACCCTGCACCTTAAGCCAACAGCACTGTAATCTTGTCATATTTCTGGTAAGTCCACAGGAGATGTGCTGAGTGAACTATAGAGGCCATTCCACTAGGGAATTCCATGTTCAGTGGTAACTGGTATCCTCTGTAAGTTTAAAAAAATTTTTTTAACCCTTCCTGGGCTGGGCTTGTCCAGAAATCTCATCTCCTTCTGGCTAGAGCAGCTTAGGGCTCCTGTGTGTGTGTGTGTGTGTGTGTGTGTGTGTCTTATAGGTATAGGCAAATTTTTAGTCTTAACACCTGTAAGCCAGCACTGGTGCTGTTCTGTCCTAGAAATTTTAGCACTGCTCTGATACGATAAAACCTTCTTTCTCTCCAACTGGTTCAACTTCAGCATAGGCAGGATGGCCAGAACCTCTTCGGAACTTCATTGCCGGCCATCTGCTTGGGCGTCTCTGAAACAGAAAAATGCAAAAGGAGTGAACAGTGTGGTGACAGTCACATCATAAGAAAAATATATTTGCCAACTATTCAGATGAACTTCTAAATTAAATGTACCTACTTATTAAATGATCTCATTTCCACCACAGCTGAAACTATACATGCCCAAAGCCTCTCTTTGGGCGTGCCTTGCCTCTCTTAATGGCATTACCAGTGCCTCCCAGATGACAGTCCCTTGGCCAAAGCTACCCCCCAAAGGATTGAGAGTTTCTCAAAGACATGATTTATGCTTTATGCATATTTATGTCTAAAAGACTTCATTAAGTGTCCAAATATAACTAAGCAAAAATGAACGGTCATTAAAAACAAATTTTCTTAATATATAACTATGGACACCTTCTCTTCTTTAGAAGTCAATAATTATACCACTTCATTTCACTTATTAATTCACTCAAAAAACCTAAGACCATAAAACTGCACAGTTATTAGAAGTGTGCTTCAAATTTGGTGCTTAGACTTGCGAGCAAAAACCAAACTAAAAGATCAATCACCTTAATATCTTAAGAATTAATTTATTAAACTAAGACATCCCATAGATGACTTTTTGTGTTTGAAAATGAACAGATGTCATGCCCTGAAAACTGAATCCAATGTCAGAGGTTGTGAATAATCTCAAACCTATGTAAATAATTGCACATATAGACAATGGTCTTAAAATACAGGTTACTTGTATTCACACTTCTCCCTAACCTTATGTTCATCAAACAAACCTTTTGTGATTTACAAACAGAAGTGATGGAATGAATTATTAAGTTACAGCAGCAGAAGACACTAAAAGGCATTTCTCAGCCACAGTGGCACCAGAAACTACTATTCCATTTATCAGAGTACCTGTAATTTTGGAGTAAATAAACCAATAAATATTAAAGGAAGTTTATTTCTACCTAAGAATTTTAATGTGAAAAATGTTAAATATCAGTGTAGGTATATTGGCATTTGGCAGCTTTCTAGATTGGCCAATTACATTCCACTGTCATGATTAATGGCTGTAAAAGAGTTTTCCCATCAGGTAGGAATGAGTATTAGCTCTACCTTCTGGAAAAATACTAATCATGGTAATTGCATTCTGCCTGTTAATAATATTAGTACTGTCTCTATAACATTATGTGGTCAGAATGCTTTATATTTATTAGCTGGTTAAGTCCCATTATGTAAGTGAAACTGAATTATCTTTATTTTCCTAAAAAAGAAGGTAAAACTGAGAGGGCTAAATAGCAATCTAGTGTCTTTGTTGGAACTAAAAATCATCATCAATGGAAATATACTAAATGTTTCTAGAGAGATGGACACTGTAATTTGTGGTCACTCCTGTTGTGGGAAAATGCCAATATGTGCATTCGTTCTTAAAAAACAAAAATCCCTGGCTGCACCAGAGCTTAGATCCCCAGGACGTGGGATCTTAGTTTCTCGACAAGAGATCAAACCCAAGCCCCCTGCATTGGAGGTGCAGAGTCTGAACCACTGACCACCAGGGAAGTCCTCAGTATGCTCACTCTTTATAACCCCACTCTGGTTTCAGCTACTCCACATCTGGGCTTCTCAGGGCACAGCTGCCCCTGTGTTTCTTGGACTCAAGCAGCACCACCGTCTGTTCTGAAGCTCTGCCTTACAAGGCCCATTCGGCCCACGGGTCCAGCAGGCAAGTACCGTCCTACGGACTAGCACCGATTTACCGCTCAGCACATAAAGACACTGCGTTACAGCTGACCATGAAAAAGGAGAGCTGATTATCATCACAAAGACAAGAGATGGCAGGTAGTGGCGAGAACGTGATGGAAAGGGAAACTGAGTTGTAGATTGGTCCAAAGACTATGGAAAACAATCCGGGAGTTCCTCGAAAACTTAAAAATGTATCTACTACATGATCCGGCAGTTCCACTTCTGGCATACACCTAAAATAAATGAAAACAGAAGTTTGCTGAGATACCTATATTCCCGCGTTATGGCAGCATTATTCACAAGAGCCAAGATATGGACACACCCCAGGTGCCCATCCATGGATGAATGGGTAAAAAAAAGATGCAGTATGGACAATGGAATATTATTCTGTCATGAGAAAAGAGGATATCCTGCCATTTGTGATAGCAAGGATGGACCTTGAACACATGATGCTAAGTGAGGTACGTCAGAGAAAGACCAAAACTGTGTGATATCACTTATCTGTGGAATCTCAAGAAGTCAGACCTAAGGAAAAAGCAAACAGTGGCTACCAGGTAATAGAGGATGGGGAGATAAGATTGATGGTATTTAAGGGTATACACTTGTGATGAGTATTAAACAATATTGTACTATAAGCATGCAATGTAATAAATATTATTACAACAGCAACTATATTACAATATATAAATGTATCAAAGTTACACGTTGTATGCTTAAACCTACACAATGCCAAACTTATCTAATTAAAGAAATAAAAAGAAATACCACTGATGAGAATGTTGATGATGATGCCTGGGAAAGTTACATTTTATTAAACACAATTAATCATATTTCATGCTGTTAGAAGGCGATTTACATACCTGATCTTATATAATGTGTACAACTCAATCATTTACCTTGCACCCAAACCTAAAAAGCTGGCAAATGGCAGATCCAATATTTAAAATGAGAGCTATCAGCTTCCAAAGTTAATTCTCCCATTATAGAACTTAGCTCTTAAAATTCATTACTTTGTGTACAACCTATCTGAAATTTATACACATGGTTCTATTTTTATTTCAATCTTAAACTATAACATTACCAACAACTTCAGTATTCTAAGCATTACTAAGAATTCTAAGAATTACTAAATTAATAATTAATTCTCTGTCTTAGGTTAAAAGGTTGCAGGATTATTGATAATGTTTATCATGTTCTTTGTGAACTCACCACAGAGATTCTCAAAATAGAAAGTACAGTGAAGCTACCACTGTTAACACAGTGCAAACTTATTTTCTGAATTAATTTCATGTCCTTAAAGAAAATTTCTTTCATCTTACCACTACTCATTAGAGAAAAAAACACCCTAACAAGATTTAAAACCACTAGAGATTCCACCACCCACACATAATTTGGTTCAAGTATCTGTGTATATCACGTATACGCATTTCTAGAAACACTGAATCACTGCAAATACTGTTTTATGAACTCCTTTATTTCCAATTAAGAACACAAAAAAATTTATGAACTATTCCTCTACAAAATTACTTTCACTGTGTGCAGAGCATACTACATATAACTCAATATGAGTTATATAGTCAATTTGATTTTGAGATTGTTTTCAAGATTGTTTGATAATATAAATAATGCTCCAGTGAATATTTTTGCTGCTAACCTCAAAGGAATATTTCTGATTAGTTCCTTTTATAAACTCACAGAAGTGAAATTATTGGGCCAAAGAGAATGCACAGATTATTTACTAAAAATATCTGAAATGTCTAACATGGTGCTAGATGCTGTTTTGAAGGACATATGACCAAAGAAAAGTATAGAAAATGGTTTCCATATGGAAGATAAAAACTTCTTCAGGGTAAAAGGGGTAAGACTTAATTTAGGTTTCACATAAGCATTCTAAAGATGAACAAGATAGAATAGGTGTTATCTAACTACAAAATTATTCAAGACTCTTATTTTATATGTACAAAACTGAAAGATTTATACTTACTTCTACAGTTTTTGCCTAGATGAAAAGAGAGGGCATTTCCCATAATAATATGTCAAAATTTACAATGAAATCTATTAATTGTCATGCAACTGGTCTGATTTCATGCAATGAAATCTAGCAACTGTCACGCATTTGGTCTGATTTTACATTCTTTTACTGGTTCTTGACATCTCATTTTTAACCCTAAAAATGCCACAGAGTAATAAGTTTATCAAAATCCTGCTTCCTTTCCAGAATGTTTCCACATATCACAAATCAATTAAATGATCCTAAATAAATCACTTGATTTCTCTGGGCTTTTGCTTCCTTATCTATAAATTGATATTTGGGGATCTGTCCTCTAAAATTGTAGGATCCTTACACCTGGTTGCCTGAGATAACTGAACACTGGGGAGAAAAGTTACTTAGAAACTTCTCTGGGTCATGTTTCTTCTGATCGTTGTCTCTCCTACCTTCCTCCACTAACTTTTAGGATCCCTAAACTGAAATCTATATAAATTAGTCCTAACTGAAGTTGTTTTTCTAGGTCAATCTGCAGTTGCTCAGAGAATTTCCTTACAAATGAAAACAAGGGGTCAGTTCTCTGACTTCCACGACTCAATGTTTAGTTCTCATAGAACAATCTGTAAGGTTGGTGACTGCCAACCTTATCTTTAAGCTTGGTAGATACCACGAGGCATCTATCCAATAGACAAATGGGATCTAGAAACCTGGGCATCATGTCTGACTCTGCCATGAAATATGATGGATGGGTCACAACCTAGCATTTAATACTTCTTTCTTGAGGCTTAAACATGTCCCAATCTGTGTTCTTTTTTAGAATGGCTAATTCAAATTGCTACAGAAACTGATGGGGGCCACAGGGTCACTTGTTAACAGAGCAGGATGTATGCTGAAAATTGAAAAATTCAAACCAGACTGTACTGTTAATTCATTACAGAGATGCAGGATGTCATGACTTAAAACATGACTGTGTGTAATGCGTGGGTGCTCTCTAATTTCATTTCTGAGAATTATTTATGAAATTCATCACATTAAGAAGTAAATGTTCACACTGATATGTATGCACTGGGGCGGGCCATGCAGGCAGGTATTCTCCCTAATTACTCCTTCAGAACTATTAACTGAACAGTCATTCAAATCTGTCTCAATGGTCTGTGGCAAGATAATTAGCTGAAATATCCACAAACAAACCTGCAGGGTACCCTGTGTTAGCAGTGTACACAAAACTGCAGCTGGAGACCTGTCTTCAAGCTCAGAGAGCAAAGCAGAGAGTGCTTTTTATGCGTTAGATGAACCCTTGAAAGGCAG